ATCCTTGAAATGAAAGGAAAGGAGAAAAGCCATAAATGAAAGTAAAGCAAAACAGTACAAAAGACTTAAATAAGAACAGACAAGACAAGCAATATAGCCTGGCACAGAGGAGACTGAGCTAGAAAGACTGCAAGTTTGCCGGGCGCTGGTGGCTCACGCCTGTAATCCTAGCTACTCAGGAGGCTGAGATCTGAGGATCAAGGTTCAAAGCCAGCCCAGGCAGGAGAGACCGTGAGACTCCTATCTCCAATAAACCACCAGAAAACCGGAAGTGGCGCTGTAGCTCAAGTGGTAGAGCGCTCGCCTTGAGCTGAAGAGCTGAGGGACAGCGCCCAGGCCCAGAGTTCAAGCCCCACGACCGACAAAAAAAAAAAAAAGAAAGACTGCAAGTTTGAGTCCTGTCTGGGCCGAGACTCTGCCTTAAATAGAAAACAACTATAAAAAATTGAAGCTGGGAACTGGTGAGTTGTGCCCGTAATTCTAACTACTCAGGAGGCTGAGATCTAAGAATTAGGGTTCATAGCTAGCCTGGGCAGGAAAGTCCATGAGACTCTTAGCTCCAATTAACCACCAAAAATCTGTAAGTGGAAGTGTAACTCAAGTGGTAGAGCATCAGCCTTGAGGGGAAAAAAAAAAACAAAAAACAAAACTCAGGGACAGGGACCAGGACCTGAGTCAAGACCCAGTACTAGCACACATGCACATGCACACACACACACACACACACACACACACACACACACACACACAAATCCAGGTTAATAAGCTGAAAGAGTTAAGAGTTAGGCATAATAATTAGAAGGCAGCAGCAGTTTGAGCCAATTGTAGCCAATCTAAGCTGTATACAGGTCTTGCTCAGGAAAAATAAAGAGTCAGGTATAATACTATATGACAGGTAATATCACAGTGCTTTATAAACTATAAAAGACTGTAATAAATTTGGGAGCAATTTGAAGGTAAGGTGAGGAGAACTGCTAGAACCAGAATCCATATCTTCAGATTAATAATCATGCCAGCCAGGACTGGGAAGGTGGCTCAGTGGTAGAGTGCTTGCCTTGCATGCATGAGGCCTTGTGTTCGATTCCTCAGTACTACATAAGCAGAAAAAGCCAGAAGTGGGGCTGAGGCTCAAGTGGTAGAGCACTAGCCTAGAGCTGAAGAGCTGAGGGACAGCGCCCAGGCCCAGAATTCAGGTCCCACGTCCGACAAAAAAAATAAAATAAAATAAATTATGCCAGCCATTTTTTCTCAGTGTATGTTTTTAAAATTTTTTTTATTATCTTTAAATAGTTGTACAAAGAAGTTCCATTCTACAAAACAGTATATGAATACAAAGTGTCTGACAACATTGTAACCCATTGTTCCTAACCCACCTTCTCAGTGCATTTGTAAATGTTTGAGTGTCTAGATCTATTAGTCATCAGCTTAAGAGCTAAAGAAATCCTCCTATTCAAGATAAATATAACTCTTAGGGTGGGAGGCATGATTCAAGTTGTAGAGAACCTAAACAATAAATATGATGCTTTCTCTGGAGGAGGGGAAAGGTGAACAAACAAATATAAACAGGGGCTGGGAATGTAGCTCAGTGGTACAGTGCTTGCCTAGCATGCATGTAGCCCTGGGTTCAATTCCTCAGTACCATATAAACAGAAAAAGCTGGAATTAGCACTGTGGCTCAGGTGGTAGAGTGCTAGCCTTGGGCAAAAGAAGCTCAGGGACAGGGGCTGGGAAGGTGGCTCAGTGGTAGAGCGCATGCCTTGCAGGCCAGAGGCCCTGGGTTTGATTCCTCAGCACCACATAAGCAAAAAGAAAAAAGCCAGAAGTGGCGCTGTGGCTCAAGTGGTAGAGTGCTAGCCTTGAGCTGA